CTCCATATCGAACTCCTAGCTTACAGGATAGAGAAACGAGTTAAATAACCTGAGAGGAGGAAATCAGCCAAACTCAGACTGTGAAACAATTAACTGGACAAAGGAGTCTGTTTGTCCCACAGATCAATGCCATCAGAAAAGCAGGGTAAAAAAGAACTTTCATAGACTATAAGAGACATAAAACTTGGAGAAGCAAATCCACTATGGGGGCTTTATTTGAATCCTAGTTAACATAAAAGCGACGATCTTACAAGCCATTAGGGAACTAGGCTATGGGTTGTACTCACCAGGGAAGCCATACAGGCCCTCACCAGAACCTGGTTGATTCTATTCAGTGCAAGAAATACATCAAGGTCAGGTGTGGGAAACTGAAAACTGGGAAGAGAGCTTATGTGGACAAACTCTCAACACTCAAACGGTAAGGAGTCTGGGAGGTCAGGGCTCCTGTGGAGGGAACCTTCATGTTCATGGGTTGGAGATGCATCCCACTCGCATTCTCCTAAATAAAAGTCATTCCCTTCAACATTCCCCCATAATAATGCCAAATTTAAGGTGCTGTTTGTAAACACAAGGCTGCTCTCTATACTCCTGAAGGTCAACTGCTTAAAAGGCTATTTGACTGAAGGTTGTCTGCCATCAAAAGCAATCAGATCTTCCATGTGGGCTTTGTTGCTTCTGAGCTAGATGGCTGCTTGTTTACCTGCAATTCTTTAAGACCCCAGACACTATATCTTTTGATAGCCGGGCACCATCAGGAACAAAACCCACATAGAAGAAGCACACAAGCCTGTGTGACCATGAGGTGTCAAAGAGATTAGGTATCAGGCATCAAAGAATAAAAAATCATATCATTGTAAATGAGGGGGAGTGCAGAGCGGAGACTGAATTTTCAGCCAAAGGACAGACAGGTCTATAAAGAGAACAGTAAACCTAGTGAGATACACACACCTTAGAATAATCCACCATTTGAGACCCAAAGAGCCACATTTACCCAAGGGCAAAGTTCAGAAGGGCTAAGGAGGAATGGAACAGGAAACACCGGGATGAAGCAGAATAAATGAAATTACACTGTGATAAACAATGGGTATGAATTATTGAATACAAAACTGATGAACTGCTCTGTAGACCTTCACCCAACTCACACTAAAAAGTTTTTGCTTTTCTCCCCAAATATCCCTTAGTAGGCAGACGGATGAATGTCAGAGAGTGTGTGTTCCTGCTCTGTGGGTTTCTTAAGGGCAGGAGCAAGGCATTACGTTTTGGTCTGTATGTCTCCGGTGTCTGGCACATAATAGTTGAAGGAGAAGAAAAGAGCAAGACAAGGTGGCCATGATATGGGGGGTGGGGTGGGGGTGTGAAGGGGGTAGGGAAGAGAGATGGTGCCCCAGGCATAATGTCTGCTAGGGCTGCAGAGTCCCTCTACTGGGTTGGGCTTAAAGCAGCTGCTTGAATCCTGGGATGGAGCCTGATTTGCAATTCTTCCCTCCTGCCAGGTGGGTGAGTTCATCCTTGCCCCAACCAGGGCAGGTGGCTAGCATCTGGAGTGCCCTTGCAACTGCTGAAAGAATAGCCCTGTAAGCCTTGCTCGAAGGACCAGTGACCCCAATGCTTCACCCATTTAGACTCAGTCTTGACCTTGAGGTAGGGCATTTGAGAATTCCAGGGCTCAGCTTTTCTTTAGATAAAAGTGGAAGGAGCAACAAACGGTCTCATTACACGTTAGGAGAGGCGGAATCTTAACATAATGTTGAACAAGTGCTGTGAGAGCCTCAACAAAGCCCTTAAATGAACACCACATTTTTATTTGGTGGTCGTGATAAAAGGTTTCGTTTAGAGTTGACTAAGCTTTTGCCACCTTTTCAGTGTGCTCATTGCTCCCAGCATTGTCTCACTTGAGCCTCACTTCCCTCCTGAAAGGTTCATGGAACAAACTACTGCCTTCATTTGGCAGGTCAGCTGAGGCTCCAGGAGAGCAAGTGACTACCCATATTCACACAGATAGTAAGTGGCAGAACTAGGATGGAGGTCTGGATCTTCCCAAGCCCGCACCACGTGGTCTTCTCTACATGCTCTTTTCACATGACACAGCTTGCGTGTCAGCTACAAGAAATAGTTTCAACCCATCCCAAGCACTGGGCGGTTGGTCCTCTGGCATCCCTGTTCATCACACTGGGCTGTCATTTGCTGCCAGACTAGACTCTTTGCTTTCAAAAAGTCTGATACAAGAAAGGTGCTCAACCCACCAGCTGCTCCTGAGGAGAAAGATGAGGCTTTCTACTCCAGTAAAGAGATCATCTTTCTCCTCAGGAGCAGCTGGTGGGGGTGAACTGTGAACAGCTAGAAGCATAACCCACTACACTACCAGGGCCCCTCTATGGTATAGTAGTCTATAACCCACTACACTACCAGGGCCTCTCTATGGTATAGTATTCTATACCATCATGACACTATTCTAAATGTGTTCTTTCATTTGATCTTTTATTCACCAGCTATATAATTGTGAAAAGCCAGAAAAGAAAAACCAAATGTCTGCAAACAGGAAAAAATATTGCTATGCAATTCAATTAAACCTGGTTGTATCAGTAAAAAGTTACTACAATTTCTTTTCATTTGCTATATTTACTTTTAAGAAATGGACTGGCCATCTCAACAAAGGTGGACTTGTCATTTTCTGCTAGAAATCAGCATGATACCTGCTAAGTCTTAGCATTCCATACCTGGGGGGGCTCACTAGGACCCCTTCAGGGTCTGCCTGGGTCAAGCAGCCATATGCACCAACTGATACAACTGGCTAGGAGGTTTTGGGAAAACATGGAGGACACTGGGAGTTACCGACAAGGAAAGTAAGGATGATTTCTATTCACTTAAGCATTGAGATGCTTAATTTAAGAATCATATGGGAGAGTATGAAAATACTCTTCTGCTTCTTAAAACTATATCCTGGTAATGCCAGAGCTTAGTTCTCCTATTAGAATGAGCTAAAATGTCAGGTGCCCATGACCCGCCCGTATAAGCAGATTAAGTAAGGTGGCTGCCTAGTTCACAGATGACATGTGGAACTCAGAAAGGTGAGATGACGTGTCCAATGCCACAAAGTCAGGCATTGTGAAGGCCGAAGCCACCACTCCTCTGCTAACTGGCAAACATGCACATGCTCCCGATGCTCAGAACATCTCCAACACAGTGTCTTGATGCTTGACTTAATGCACAGCTGCCGAGACTTGTGCCACAATCCACCCAGGCCTGTTATCTGGCAGAGGTCTATCTCCCCCATGTCATGGAAAGGCGCCAGGGGAACATCAGAGTGGTCAGCTAATCTTGGGAAACTTGGTGTCACCCATTCAACAAAGGACTGAGAACTCTTGCCCCACTAAGGCAGCATCAGGCCACCTCATGGCTGGTGCTCATGGCTCGTGCTACACCTCGCTAAGGCTACACAGGCTATGTGTCCTCAAGTTTTGCTCTGCCACTTCCCAGCCTCCACTTACCAATATCCTGGGCTCTCAGTGCTCTTGTCAGTAAAATGGGAATGATGAGTATTTGTGCAGCAGAATTACTATGAAGATTAAATAGGGGAATAGTTGAGCACCCCTATTTGTTGGCAGTGCCTGGCTGCCAACAAAAAGGTTGGACCCTCCAGTCACTCCACAGGAGAAATTTGTGGCAGTCTGCTTCCAGTTTGTAGACTGGGGACAAGTTTACAATAACTATAATGGGTACTTCTAAGTCAGAATCAACCCAAAAGTATGGAGGTGGCTTGGTTGGGCTTATTTACACGATACCCTTTCTAAGACACTTCCCTTATCACAATGTTTGTGAGGCATGCACAAAATGACGAACATGGAGCACCCAGCAAATATCTAGTCTATAGTAGGTGCTCCTTAGGGTGGCCTGGTGGGTTATGCGTGGGGCTGCTAACTGTAAGCTTGGCCGTTCAAAACCACCAGCTTGCTCCATGGGAGAAAGATGAGGCTCTCACCTCCCGGAAAGAGTTATAGTCTCTGGACACCCACAGGGGCAGTTCCAGCCTGTCCTAGAGAGGCACTCTGAGTCGGAATCAACTCAATAGCAGGGAGGGTTCGATTTGTTGGAGGTGCTCCTTAAATAATAGCTGCCATCATCACACGAAAGGGGTCGAGCAGCACACACAGAATGGGTTTTCCCCAGGAAGGGGCTGGAGAAGAGCTTCACAGAGTCGAGAGGATGTTGGTTCTTCCCCTCCAAATCCCTGGTGGCATCCTCTCCCCTACTATACCACGACTTCTGCGCCGTCTTAGTTTCCCACCTGCTTGCCAGTCAGGAAATGACCGCAACGGCGGCCATTTCTTCCTCTGAGTCCCTGGAGTCCAATAAATTCAGACCCTGGCCTTCCTCACTGCTGCTCAGCAAGCCTGTACCTCCTCCAGCCTAGTTTCAGGGGGACAATGAGGGGAACCGAGAAACTTCCAAGGAAAACTGCTTCTCTCTAGGTCGACCTTGGGTACGATGCTGTTACCCTCTGGGGCCTGTGGGCAGTGCCGGCCCCCCCCTCCTCGCCCACCCGGACACCCCTACTCACAGCTCGAGGATGAGCACCACATCGGTACGGTTCTCGTAGACGTCGTGCAGCGTGATGATGTTGGGGTGCAGCACCTGCCGCAGGATGCTCACCTCCCGCTCGATCTCCTCCTTGCGCACGCCCCGCCTGCTGGCCGGGCTCTGCCGCTTCTTGATGAACTTCGCTGCGTACTCGAGCCCGGTGCTCCTCTCCCGGCACTTCTTCACGATGGCGAACTGGCCGCTGTGGGGACACACCGTCAGGCATTTAGGTCGTCACTGTGGCTGTTAGCCACCAGGCCCCGCTCATTCAGAGTCATGCCGCCGTCCAGCATCCCTGCCCAGTGTCAACTAGCGATGGAGGCGGTGCAGCTGCTGCACTGCTGCTCTGATCCAGGAATCCTCTACCTTTTACTAGTGTTGGCAACCCCAGTATACAGATACGAACACTGATGCAGGGAGGGATTATTGATCTGATTAGGATGGCTGAGCCTCATTGCTCCCAAGCCTCAGCTAGAACCCAAGGCTACTATTCATTAGACTATGTGTCGAGGAAAGACATAGGGGGAAGTGGTGCTCAAAGAGATCCACATGGCCAAAATACAAACAGCACCAGGCATCGGTTTGCACCCCCTGATCTGGGGAAAAGGATAACTTCACGCATTTGGAATTGTGAGAGGGCAAACCCATCCACTATCAGTAAATTGATTCTGTCTCATTCTGACCCAATAGGACAGGGTAAAGCTTCCCTATAGCGTTTCTAAGACTACAGCCTTGATGAGAGCAGACAGCCTCACTTTTCTCCCACAGAGCAGCTGATGAGTTTGAACCACAAACCCTGTGGTTAGCAGTTCAACACTTAATCCACTGCACCACCAGTGCTTCTTGTGGGAAAACAAAGCATCTCATCTTACACCTCTGCTCCCAAGCCTGCTCCTAGCAAATACACTCTCAATTACATGGCCTGAGCCAAACAACAGGGGAACCACACAGTATGTAGTCTTTGTGACTGACTTCTTCCATGTAACATGTTTTTAGTATTCATCCATGTCATAGCATGTACCTCTACTTCACTCCGTTTTAAGGCTGCATTATTGTCTATTGCTTGCATATGCCACATTTTGTTGTCCCAGTCATCAGTTGTGTTGGTCATTTGGGTTGTTTCTACTTTGGGGCTATTATGAATAATGCTGCTCTGACCATGTGTGGAAACATACTTTCCTTTCCCTTGGGTGTAGAATCCAGTTCTTTAAGAGTGGAACTGCTGAATGCTATGAGAACTCAGTGTTTGACCTTTGAGGAATGGCCAGGCTGACTTCCAAGGAGGCTGCACCATTTAGCACGGCCACCAACAATGCAGGAGCGCTCCGGTTTCTCCCTTCCGTCTAGCACTTCATATGGTCCGCCCTGCTGTGGTTATGTGCTCTCAGTCACTTCTGACTCGTAGCTATTTAGGACCCAAATACTGACCCGGAGCTGTGGACGCCTTGTTAGGGGCTGACACAGGTGCCATGGAGCCAGCCCTCCCAAAACCAAATGAACAATCACAGTGTACTCTTTAACACCGCTGGTCGTCTGGAGCCACTTCAGGCCTTAGGGACATCTGGTGCCTTAGTGAGTGCCAGCAAGCACTCGACAAAGTTTCCAGTCTCACTTGGCCATCGGTCTCAGCGTCAGGACCGCCATGCTCCTGAGTCACCTGGGTGCTGCATTTTGGAGTGTTCCCCGGCCTCTTCCCAGCAGTCCTGAGGACTAGTGAGGCAGGCACAACCTCTCCACTTGAGCCTCGGGGAAAGCCAAAGCCTGAGAAAGTCAAGTCATTTGTGTGAGCTTCCAGAGCACCCAGGTGGAGGGGCAGGGTTTGGTTCGGCACTCAGATTGCACAGCTCCCAGCCCACACGCTACTGACAGTGGTGGGTGCTGGATAAGAGGGGAAGGGAGTTTGTTTGTTTGTTTGTTTTAAATAAAATATTTTAAAATTTATTTTTAGCTTTTCATCTTGAATTGGGTGAAGATTTACAGAACACATAAGCAGTTTTACATTTAACAACTCATATGCATTTTTCCCCTCTCATTCATTGCAATCCCCTGAAACCATGTTTTTGTCTAACTTCTTCTCCTCCCCTATTCCACGTTTCCCTCTTCCCCCCTGGGCTTCCTGTGTCCATTTATCCTTCTTTCCTAAACCTTCTGCTGTTTGTCCCTGGGTAAATGCTGCCTTTAAAAAAAGTCTTAAACAACTAGCAAGACCTCTAGGAGATGCTTATGTTCACTCAGTTTAAAACCACTGGGAGACAGTATTTATCACCATGCGATTTTCAGTGCTATGGAATGATCAGTAGGTTAGCACCCAGACATCTGCTACATGTTCCTACAAAAACTATTCCAAAGGATTAGGAGCTGTAAAGAAACCAAGGAACAAGTTTTTCTCAAGAATTACTTAACAAAAAGAGTAGGAATTGAGAAATGTACAGGCTTCTTGAGGTGATTTATCAACATACTGTTGTTACTCAAAAGCCACCCTTCGTGATGCCCCCAGTTTACTTTTTTTAAAAATCGTTTTATTAGGGGCTCATACAACTCTTATCACAATCCATACATACATCAATTGTGTAAAGCACATTTGTACATTCATTGCCCTCA